CAAAATGTTCAAAAGAAACGTAAAAGAGGAAAAATCCACTTGTTTTAGAGTACCACCATAGAATCTCCAGTCTCTTGTACCTTTTTCATAAACAAGAAAGAAAATTTTGAGAAGAGCTGAATTTTCGCAAACCTCCACACTGAAATGAATTTAATTGGATGGTTTATGCAAAGCATTTTAATGAAATCGTATGTATTGCATCAATAGAAATGATAATTATTGGAAGTGGCAAATGAGAACGCTCGTTGTTGTCGGTTTTCGTGTTCTCTTAGCACGAGTTGCTCAAGGGCACGAATATCGAGACGCACTGAACCTGCGTAGGTGAGAAAGTCACGTACATCTATATCGGTTAATGCCATTGAACGACGACGCCAACCTTAATTCATTAAATTTCAAAGAGCTGATTCAAAAAGTTGTGACTATATCTATTCAAGTGGATAACTTCCGAATGCATTTGATAATAGCTCATATGGAATTATTGAACTGTTCATAAAAAGAGAAGTTTACTTGGGCATCAACAATAGGGTTTGAGAAGGAAAACGATTCTGTTGCGAGGAGGGAGGGATCCCAAAGCTTAGGAACGACCTCGGTCAAAGGAAGACCACTCCCGCCGGGGATTCTCTGCTTTTGGTGGGGAAGGAACAGGAGGAAAGCGAAGGATTTTGGACTTTCATAACGAGGATCTTCTGAAGAATTGAAGCACTCTGGCCTTTGATTTTCAAACACAAACAGTGTTCAATAAAAACTTCATGAACGCAATCCTCATGAAATTACTTCAGAACAGCAATAATCCTTCTCTAATTTATTCTACATCAATGGTGTTTAACCGTTTTCGGCCAATCGCCCGCTTCGGTTGACAGCTCATCCATATCGCTTCGATATGCAATAATCGCATTGAAAACGCCGATGGAAGCAAAAAACGTAAGGATGATTATGTCATATTTGAAGAAAATGAATGCCGGGGAATTTACGGGAATGAACTGAAATGCGATAATGGGCAATGCAAAGGAACGATTGCAGAGGTGTGACAGCTGACTCGTTGAAGAGCGGCAAGTTAGTTGCTACATTCGCAAATGCTACTAACACATATGTGCAGCGAAGAACAAAAGTAAAAGTACGCAATGAATGGTAATGAGCCTTCCCTTAGCCATTACTAAGGAACATATGTTGGCGAGACCGAAGATGTGGGATATCATTTTGGAGCGCTTGAAACGATGGTTATGCATATCCTTTTCGATTCTGTTGAACTCGACAGAGAATGAAACAATGAGCATGCTATAGAAATAGACATTATGTATTGTCCTTGCAGGCGAATCAACGTGCTCATGTAATCCATGGATAACGCGTTGGACTACTAATTGTAAGATGGAGATCAGAGATTAAAGTTCGCATCGGGCTTTATGCAAATTCGTTGATCAGTTGTATGATGGAGCAAAGGTTTTGTGCGGGTAAGGTGATTTCTTCTCGGGAGAAGTTTGGTGATGAGAATGTTGCTGGGGATGCAGAGATGTACGATTGGTGCTCGTGTTGACGGGGGATGATCTGGAAATTGTTGCAAGACGAGGATCTAATGGAAACGCCCTCAGATAAAAATGGGTAGGTATACGATTTAGCACCAGATATCGAGACTTTTAAGTTATGAAGTATTCCTATTATGACTGCTACAAACACCTTGCTTTAATTCGAGATGAATGTGATTTGCGGCAAAAAGAAATGTCGATTGAAACTGTCAAAGTATGATGATATTAACAATGCTGAAAAAACTCGACACATGATCCATCCTGCAGCCGAAGCCATCTAAACGTTTTGACGCGTTATTCGCTAATCCATATGATCAAATTGGCTTCCACACAGCATAATGTCAATCCGTCAGAAACAGGCTCATAAATATTCATAATCAGTGTTCCGAGCCCTTTAAAGTGATATATGCAATACCTTGGAACTCGCTAAGTCAAACTGGTTAATGCATTAGGTTGTTAACGATACTAAGATAGCATTCGAAAACGGCACCTTGATTTTGAAGTTTCATTTGGTAATCCTTCGCTATCAAATTCCCC